ACAAATGATACATATCATTAGTTCTACTAAACAGCAAACGTGATTAATCATCAGTTTCACGGCCGATTGAGTAATTGGCGTTGATTTATTAGACATTATAACAGTTTTTAGCTGACACGTGCAAAACTTTGCAAATAGTTGAAAAAAAAATATTAGATAATATTTATAATATTGTTATTTTGAACAGTGTACTCATATGAACTACTGTAAATATTGATTATCTTTAAGAATGACTATAAAAAAGCACTATTTATCAATTATTGAAGAAATTATGGCTTATGGCCATCTTTTCCGTATGGCCATAATATCCTAGTTTACCCTATAATCTTCTGTTTTATAACAATAGATGAAAACGAACTACTTGTTTTACCTTAGCGATCTGATTGAAACCACTCGCAGGTTCAGTATGACCAAGATTAGATTTTACTGAACCGATCATTAATGGAGTTTCTCTATTTGTACAAAAAACATTATAGATAGCATTAATTTCTGGTGGATCGCCAGCTATCGTAGCAGTACCATGTGCTTCGACATAATCCAAACAAGATGTTGGTATTTTGCACTCTTCGTAAAATTCCTTTAGTAAGGTATATTGCATTTGTGATGAAGGATATGTTATTCCTTCTTCTTTGTAACCATCGTTGTTTAATTTTATATGAGGACATATGGCATAAATCCTCTTTGCATTTTTTGCCTTTTGAAGGTATATCACTGCCGCCGTTTCGCCACGAGCATAACCGTTAGCAGCGCTATCAAATGGTCTGCAATAACCAGTTGGTGACAAAACGCCTAAAAGATACAAAATGCAGTATGCATATTTAATTCATGTACAATGGGTATTTAATCCGTGTACCTCATATTTACATAAAAAATTATCAATTTCGTCTATGATAATGTAAGGTAGAGGAGACCGGGGCCAGTTGTCACAGTTTTTGATTAGTGATTTTTAAAAAAAAGTGAATGCTTGATTTGAAAATATTATATACGTTATGATATATCTACATCCTTTAGGTATTAAAAAAAATATTACTCGTGAATTTTACCATATTGTAGTCATTTTTAATAAAAGAGATTGTATTTACAAACTTTGTCAGGATAATGATTAATTAATTGTAGCAAAAATCTTCTATGACATGTCATTTTCTATGAATACAGGGCGATTAATAATGCCAAAGGTTTCTCAGACAACAAAATAGGTAATAAGAAAAATTTACTCATCAGTTTCATTTTCTTAAAACTCGCTGTAAATAATATATACAATGCTTGTGGTGCAAATAATTTTACACGACAAATTAATATTATATCAGCAATCTACAGTAAAAAAAAAGAAATTTTTCTGCTATGTCCTGTTTGAGTTATGAGCATTTTGACAATCAATCCCGTACTACAACTAGGCCCGGTCTCCTCTACAAGTAATGTAAGCGTGTTTTTTTCAAAATTATATAGTTGTAGTTTATTTGTTTTTTTGTAAATTAAGAAAGTGAATTGAATGATTTTTAAACGTCACATGTATATTGTATTATTAGACTATTAAATTTTAATAAAATGCAAAAGATAATTATTTATATTGGAAATACCAAGTCGAATGAATTGCAGGTTTACAATGGAAGCAAAACATAAATTTGCTGTTCCAATTATCGCGTCTTCACATTTTCCTGACATAATATAGTCATAACCAACGGCCATAGCATGAAAGCTAGAACTGCATGCTGTATCGATGGTACAGGATGGTCCTTTCAGGTCCAAGCAATATGAAATCATATTTGCTGTTGCAGATTTATGGCATCCAATAATATTCTGACCACCTATCTGTAATAATTATAATACATTTGCCGTTACAATTTTCGCACGCAAATAAAAGATTAAAGTAGTAAAAAAAAAGATTACAGAATCTATTCGAGAGAGTTCATTTTAGTTCATTTGCTTATAAATCGATTGTCTACACAGTCTACAACATCGTTTGCCCATATCTCATTTGCCTACAGATCGATTGCTTACATGTATTATTGTCTATAGCTCGATTGCCTACATGCACTTTTGCGCACAAATTTAAATAAACGAAGATATATTTATACATATATATTATTGCCTATAAGCACTATTTACCGCTTTAAAAACACAAATTCTCTGTTTCAAATTACAAATTTTTTACTTTGAAACACAAATTTTCTGCTTTAAAAATTATTGTATTCGAAATCATTTCATTAAAAGAGAGAAGTAATAATGATCATCGCAGAATATTTACATGACGGTTATTATTTTAATTATGTAACTTTTATAAGCGTATTGTAAGGTAGGATAACTAAAAGAGAGAAGTAATAATGTTCATCGCAGAATATTTACATGACGATATTCTTGAGGCTTTCACGGGTGTTTCCTATATGACAATCTTGTGTTTCGCGGGTTTTCTCCAAATTATATATCGATAATTATATATATTTGACTAACATTGAAAATGTTCTAGTGATAGAGGATGAAATGTTTGTTTAATTATGTACTTTGATTTTTTTAAATTAGTAAACAGTAATAATTAACAACTAACATTGGCTCTTAGCCCTTTCTATCATTTTAAATAGATTCTGTAATCCCTTCCTATTATTTTTTTGTAATATAATCTTGATATAAAATACGCTCGAATATTACATATTCGTTATGTATACGTATTTTATATCAAAATACTTTCACAGGAGATATGATTTATACGATTAAATCGTATATTTTACACATTACAAAAAAATTTCTTATTCATGAAGTTGAACATATAAAATAGATATGCCTGAAACGTCAAGCTACAATTTCTAATGTTCATTTATATTCTAATCGGTACAAAATGGAAAATATTATATCATAGGTAATAATATTTTACTTTGATGGCTGGACTCACGTATACGTGAGTTCGTTGAGCAAACGGTTATCAGCTGGACTAATATCCATGTCACACTACGCATTGGAGATTGAGAATTACGAATTACGAATTAGAATTCGACCAATCAGGTAGTTTTAATTTCAATCCGTTTAATTTTAATTGGCTGAATTCTAATCCTAAATTCGCAATCCTCAGTCTCCAATGCGTAGTGTGACACGGGCATAACATAACATATGCGTGAGTTCACTGAGCCAGCGGTTATCGGCCGATTTCACGTATACGTGAGTTCACTGAGTCAGCGGTTATCGGCTGAATTCACGTGTATGTAATATAGTTAATTAAGGGGATCCCAAATAGCAAAATACCTCTACGGTATTGGTACGGTGAGCGTACTATGTACAGGGTGCGGCATCAAAATCTGAACAAATTTCAATTTAAATTTTTCACTATATTGTGCCTCCGCCAGTGGTTGTTGTTGGCGTCCGAGAAAGCTTGATGTTTCTATGTAGTAAACAGTCATATTATCAAAATGGCCGCGATGTTGAAACCAAGTGCAGAGTATAATCGAAGAGCCGCGATCATCGAAGGCCTTCGCGCCGGGCGCTCAGCAACTGAAATAATTCGGTTTTTTGGATACCCGAGATCAACTGTTTATGACGTTGTGGCAAAATATACGGCTTTCAACGAAGATTCTAGTATGTCAGCGAGGAAGATTCACTCGAAAGAACACACGCGAGGAACCCCGCAGTCATCAAAAGGAAACCCAACAGCCCAGATTTAAATCCCCTAGACTACTATGTATGGGGAGTAGTTGAAAGGGTCACTAACAAGTCTCGGCATCCCAACGTGACGTCATTAAGGACCGCTACTGAGGCAGCATTCGTCAGCATGGACAGCGCTACATTGCAGCGTGCGTGCGAACGCTTCAGACAGAGAATAGAGGCCGTCATTCAAGCTAATGGGGGATATATCGAATAATTATGCTCTATAGGGATCTCCCAAGTGCCATGTAAAAGGATTTTTTTTAATATTTAATTTTTCATTAAAAACATTTTGTTTAAAGAAATTGTCCGATTTGTCCGGATTTTGGTGCCGCACCCTGTATGTCGATACCGTACCTGTCAGGTACGTGCGTACCTAAAGGGTACAGTACCGGTACATTGTACTAGTGTTTTGGAAAGCCTCCGACCTGTTATTAGATTCTAGAATAAAAAATAGGGTGTTTCGTTTAAAAAAATCGATTTGACCTTGACTTGACCTTGGTGGCACCATCCAAGGTCAAATTGATAAAGTCAGTCAATAGATCATTTTCAACCCTACATCTTTTGTATGGAACATTTTTCTCAAAAATGATTACTTTTCAAGATATTTAAGAGATCCGGGACTTTTTATACACCCTGTATAACATACAGAGTGTCCCATTTTAAAACTTCCACGCGATTATCTCAGAAAGAAGGCTTTTATCGAAAAAATGTTTCAGACAAAAGTTGCAGGGATCAAAGGGGGTCAACCAATGGTGACCTTGTCCTTGACCTTGGGGTTTAAAGGTCATTTCAAGATCAAATCGAGATTTTTAAATGGAAACCCCAATTTCTTTCTCCGGAAATGAAAAGAACGGAAAATTTCACGTTTAGATATGTGGTCATGCGAGGACCAAAATGTCCTCTAACATTCATTATTAATGTCATTGTCATAATGCACACCGCCAGGCATTAGCATTACCCGATACTCACCTTCCCGACAACGTAGTTCAATATCGCATATTTGTTATAGGCAGGATATTGTCGTTCAGGGAATCGAAAACGATACAATCTTGCTGCTGCACGATATCGTCTGCGACACTCGAGGAGTAAAGAGGTTTTGAACATTGAAGCATTTATGGTATGTGTATTTTCGAATATAATAACAATGAACGATATTATGTTATGTTGATGAAAGTGTATGTTTACATTTTGAACTTGAACCTCTTTACTCCTTTTATCCTTTCCTTCTTTATTTTCCACAACTTTCCTTCGCACCTTTTTTACTGCGTATCTTCTTACTTACCGCCATCTTACCTTCTCGACATCGGTATTATAACAAATTTGCATTTACTTTAGTATCCTCAATAGGTACATGCGACTTTTAAAGCCTGTTTTCTTAAACATTCTTTCGGAAAGTATCTAATTTGATAAGTATCTTTTTAAACAATACCTGACTACACTGCCAACGAAATTGTTGACATTCTATTTATTTTAGGAGAGTGTCGCAGACGATATCGTGCAGCAGCAAGATTCTATCGTTTTCGATTCCCTGAACGACAACATCCTGCCCATAACGTAATACGCGACATTGAACTACGTTGTCGGGAAGGAAATTTTGTTCGAAGAAGGATGGCAGCAAACGAACATGATTATGAGAATAATCCTCGCTTCATTGCTGTACTAGCTATGATACATGTAAATGTACATGTCAGTTTACGTGAAATCGAGCGTATTTTGGGTATTCCAAGATCTACTGCCAGTAGATATTTACGAAATGCACATTATCATCCATATCACATAACTCTTAATCAAGCCTTATCTTCAGACGATTATCGTAGAAGAATGATATTTTGCCAATGGGCAGCACAACAAATTATTGACGATGAAAGTTTCTTCAACTACGTACTCTTCAGTGATGAGGCTATCTTTGAGAGTACGAGCGTGTTGAATCGCCATAATGCTCACTATTGGTCTGAAGTTAATCCTCTTTGGATGAGAGAAGTTGACCATCAGCATCGTTGGAGTTTAACAGTCTGGTGTGGAATCGTTAATGGCTATCTAGTCGGATCATATTTTTTTGAAGACAACGTAAATAGGCATACCTATTTACAATTACTCAGAGACGTACTTCCAGGCTTGCTCGAGAACGTTCATCTTGCTACAAGAGCAAGAATGTGGTTTCAGCAAGATGGAGCGGCACCACATTATGCTGTTATTGTAGGGACTTTCTTAATGAAAGATTTCCTAATAGGTGGATAGGTCGAAGAGGGGTGATCCCGATTGACCACGTCTCGATTGGACACCACCAATCACAGCGACCGGTGCTTAGGAGCTTTGTAGTCTCAAGCGTTGTGAGTGGCTCGTGTCCAATTGAGCCGTGTCCAACTGGGTGCCACCCGGTCGAAGAGGCCCTGTTGAATGGCCAGCTAGGTCTCCAGATCTGTCATCTCTAGATTTTTATTTGTGGGGTTTCCTCAAGGATACGGTTTACCGCGATAGACCAGCAACAAGAGGTAATTTTGAATTAGTAATTCAAGATTGAATTATTTAAGCAACGAAGATCCAGCTTCGACCGTAATAGGCATTTTAAATTTCTAGTATTGATTGTGTTTCTCACATATACAACAGTCTAAAACAGTGCTTGGAATTAGTTGCTCATTTCGGGCAGATTCCTGAGGCAACCCCCACTGCCACTCGAAACTCGGCGGCTGAGCCGCCGATCGCTCACGTTAAGCCGTGTATTCACCTAGCGAACGAACACCGAACGAACAGCAAACGTAAAAATTTGTATTGTTGTTTGTTACATAAAAGTCGCACAAGTTTAATTGCTACATGGAACGAACATCGAATCTGGTCGAATACCAGTATTCCGTACAATCGAGAAAAAGAATAAACTGCTCACAAATATAAACACTAATATCCGAAAATTCGCGTTCGGTGTTCGTTCGCTAGGTGTATACATGGCTTTACGCTGTGCCCCAGGAGCGTCGCGATATAAAAAGTACACTGGAAGCATATCTCTCCGGCAAATATCATTAAAATATTTTCTTTCCTACGTGATTTTTATTTTAATAAATAATTAAAATAAATCTTTTATTATTAACATATTTTATTATTAACATATTATATTTTACAATAATATATAAACAAAAATTACAATATAATTATAATATGGACAATGGCTTTCCATGTTATCTTGAAAGTACTATTATTGATACGTTTTTCA